AAAGGATGGGACCAAGAAACCCACGGGATCACGGAACCGAACCAGGGAAGGGGTAGATGCCAAATCCATTTCGTACGAGGAGGGAGCGAAAGAGAACCCCCCTCCTTGTAACACCAAGCCCTGATCCGAGGGTACAAAAACCAAAGCAAGGCCCATGGGAGGCAAAGAGAGCAAAAGGCCATCAGTGAAATAGAGAGAAATCCGAAATATTTTTTCTCCAATGCAAAATCAAGATCAAAAACCACATCTAGTATCAGGCCCCTGCAAAAGGGAGATGGAACGTTCACTGATGACAACAAAGAAATGAGCGAAATACTGAGGAATCAGTATGACTCTGTTTTCAGTGAGCCACTAAGCACACTGAAGATTGATAATCCAAATGAATTTTTCATGGATATGATACCAACATCAAATCATATATCAGATGTCACCCTATTCCCACTGGATTTTGAAGAAGCCATAGACAGTATGCCTATGCATGCTGCACTAGGCCCTGATTCTTGGAACTCTATATTCATCAAGAACTGTAAAAACCACTATCGCAGGCCCTTCACATTTTGTGGAGACAAAGCCCAGAAACCGGCGTTATCCCTGACATACTAAAAACAGCAGAGATAGCACCACATCTGTCACATCTGCAAGAAAAAGGACAGGTTGGATAACTTTCACACTAGAGATGCTAAACCAATGATGATACTCTTCAAGATGCTAGTGCTCTCTAGAGTGGAGTACTGCTGCACAATGACAGCCCCCTTTCAAAGCTGGAGAAATTGCTGACCTGGAGAGCGTGCAGAGATCCTTTACTGCTGGGCCGCTGGGGTCGCTAAGCCCTGAAATCATCTCAAGGTAACCTCAAGGTAGTTAAAAAAAAATATTTCCGTTGTCTATTAATTTATTACATGTCCTTACAGCTGCTTTGTTCATTAACATAAAATTAAGCATCAACCTGGCACACACCATAAACTGGCTGAAAGTCTATCTCAAAAAGACTCTTTCCTACACTCAAAACATCATCAAGTTAAATAGAGAATTGTTTGATGGCTGACGATTTGCAAGCTTTCGAAAAATAAGAATTTGGTGGTACATGGTAAGCACGTACTGTAGATATCAAATTTCAAAGAGCATAGGTTAATTTGAACTGTACTGTACTTGGGTTAAGTATGAATTAGCATTAACAATCTGTATTATTTCATGTGTGTACTGCGTTCTCAGCAGTTTCTTGAGCTCCCAAACATGCCACTTGGCTGCTCTTTACAAAATCATTGGACAGTATCCTTGCATCACTCCACATACCATACATTTTGAAACCACATCATTTGCTGTATTTGTGGCTGAAAAGCAGGAGCATTAAATAGTAATGTTCAAATTGGTCTTTTTATTTAATATATTAAAGCAATAGGACTTTTAGGAAGTTAGTGAGACCAGTCAATATTTATCACATGTACTTTACTGTTATCTTTGATTTGCATTTTCTTAATTATATATTACTATGAAGAGGAAGCCTTGCAAATAGGCAGCCACCTGTATTAAATGTTTCACCCATGCTATGTTTTTAAAGCAATGTCAAAGATCTACTGTTCAAGCTAATTTAATAATAATACTTGAGAAAATGCTACTTGGTTTTGTTTGTGAAATATTTATCAATCAATATACTATCCCAATCACATCTATCCTAGAGTGCTATCAATAATGCCTTATTTACAAACCCAATTCTTTTCTAAATATTGTATTTTGAAATTAAATGTCATAAAAAGTCTAAAAAAAATCCAAATGCTTTCTCACCACGCTTACTACTAGAATTGTTTTCAAACTCACTTAAATATAATTAGATATAATTTTGCAATAAAAATGGATCAGCAACACCTGAAATAAATGCCCGTATGTCACCAGCATATTTCTTTACCCATCATGAAACTCTTGCCTTTTAATAACTCCAGGTGATGCAGCTTATATTAACACCACAATGTTTAAAACGGGTAATTATGCTTCTCTTAGAACCAATTAAAATGATTATTTATATATTGACCAGACCACACACTAGAAAGTGAAGGGACAACGACGTTTCGGTTCGTCCTGGACCATTCACAATCGACTTGAGAATGGTCCAGGACGGACCAAAATGTCGTCGTCCCTTCACTTTCTAGCGTGTGGTTTGGTCAACATATTTCAGCCACGTTATTGTGACTCCTCGTCTGCATATGGATTATTTATACACTTTAATTATTGGTACAGTATCATTTATACTGTACACACATTTTCCTGTTGTACAGGCAAATTGTTCATGTTGAGTATCTTACTAACACTAGTACACTACTGCGTAATACGTCACTATACAACTAATTACACAAGGCATGTAATATCTATATTGGCCAAATATTTGAGACACACAATATTACTGTAGTTATAAATAAGTCACACATAATTGCTCCACCAATTAAGGAAAACAGAATCAAACCAAAATATTACACTACACTATCTGCATACATCATAATACGCAGCGTTTTGTCTTCCCCAATCTTCTCAATATTTTAGCCTCGTCTAAATGGACCAATGTCAAGATACTTTGGCATTACAGTATATACATAATTTAGGCATTTAAAATATATTATTGTCCTGAATATACATGTAAATATATTTAACTAATTTAAATTACTCCATTGCAAGAACTGGTCACAAATCCAAGCAAGCTAAGGCTAACGGAGTCATTATGTGTAATAAAAGTTATTCCTTCATTATAAGACAATATTTTACAATGTTCAATATATGTACAATAATTATGCTTTGTGAGGCAGACCGAATCTCATATAATGCCCACAAGCTTTATTATGAGAATATTTGAAGGTGTGGCACTCATTGAATAATACCTAAGAATTTGATAAATAAATAAAGAATTATGCAAATATCATTTATTCAATTGCTATTAATAGCACTGACTAAATAATATAGTCAGTGCTATTTTATCAGTATTTAGCACTGACTAAATAGTATACTGAAATAAATTAAGGGTATTTCCAATAAATTCTTTTGAAATAACGAACATTTGCATGAACTTTACAAAAATTATGGATTAGGTTGAAGTGTTCATTTAGATGAATTCCTCCAATTGACACAATAGCCAAGAGCAACGCCACTTCAACTCGAAATTAACGTTATCTTGAGATCTTGAGGTTATGTTGAGATGATTTCGGGGCTTTTTAGTGTCCCTGCGGCCCGATCCTCGACCAGGCCTCCACCCCCAGGAAGCAGCCCGTGACAGCTGACTAACACCCAGTTACCTATTTTACTGCTAGGTAACAGGGGCACAGGGTGAAAAAAACTCTGCCCATTGTTTCTCGCGGCGCCTGGGATCGAACCCAGGATCACAAGTCCAGCGTGCTGTCCGCTCGGCCGACCAGCTCCCCGTCATCAACGTCATCAACGATTCAACATTGATGAAGTTGATTCAATGTTGAGCCAACACCACTCTTGGATATTTTGCTCACTGGGTCATTCATCTTGGCTAATAGTTTAATGCTTCTTGAAGAAAAATAAAATGTGCGGTAATAGGGACAATTTCAAACAGGTCACCGCTGCACCATGGAAAGATTACAACTCCAGAGAGCTCTCCCATGTCAGCTGACCATACTATTCACTACCTATTAACATCAATTACATAAGTCATTCTATATTACACATATCTTTTGTGGATATTGCACTTACTACAACACTCATTACATTCAAGTGTAAGTAGCACTGCTTCAGATATTTAAATGTGAGGGGCACTGACAATATTAGCATTTGGAACTCCTATAGAGATACATATTTTAAACAGTTTCTAGTTTAGCAATTGCACATATAAGTTGGCAACAAATTATTTGAACTAAAACAATTAAAAATGTTACAAAGATGTAGGATCTGCTTAGAATATTAAATTTACTTAAAAATCATGAAACTACGAAAGATATTATATGTAGTATGGTCAACAATAGAAAATAACGTGATGAGAAATAGTTATAATTCCAGGCTATCTTGAATCAAAGTTATCCATTCATGTATGTATACATCATGAATGTATGTATGTATGTATGTAAAGAGTTGTAATCATTGTAACCTTGTTATCTTGACTGCTGCCCTATAGGTTGGTGGGAGTGGAAGTGACCCACTTTCCCAGACAAGAAACACTGCTCGGTGGCATACCAAGAGGAGGTAGGTGATGGGCGTCACATAAGATGGTACATGCAGGCTCATATTAACGTTAATGACTAGCATTACCAGTAATGTTGCATGTCTGGCCTCAACATCAATACTACATGTGTATAAAGATAAACTGCAATATGCCTCTTTATAAATTACAAAACATTAATTGCCATGACAGAACATTCCCGTGTGTAGTTAATTCTCCAATACTGGCAGCTTCACATAACTTACTTTTTGTCTTTATGTGTATTTAATGAAACAAGAACACATACGGATAGCTAGCTTCTAAGTGGAGAACATCTCAACATTTGCACGTACGGAATTTAATAACAATATAAAACTGCACAAATTAAGTTCAAAACATTTTCCATACACATAAACTTATACCGAATTTTGTATTACCTATTTAGCACCCTGTACAAGTCCATACTTCTAATGTGTTAATATATTCAACAAACAATTTGCAAATAAATGCCATAAACTAATAAAACCATTTGACAATAAACAACCACTGTTTACACAGTCAATCGAGTCTTTCTTTCTCAAGACTTGTCACTGTATACTATTCTTGTCTTCAATTATTTAGGTAGCATTGTTAGCTTAGAGAAAATAAACGCAGTAATATTCCTGATATACAGTTTCTTTTTAATGACATCATATACATATAACAATTACTTCATGTATTTTGATTCGGGTTACGAGTTATCTGGTGTACTACTAATGAGCAATAAAGATATTGCTGTACCCGAGGTCCATTTATAAAACTACAATATGTGTTTGTTTATATATATATATATATATATATATATATATATATATATATATATATATATATATATATATATATATATATATATATTTATATATTTATTTATATTTCATGTATGTAATATAAATGGAATTAGTTAGAAATCAAACAATATTTTCTAAGGGTATGAGTAAATAACTACAACAATTGTTATGTCTTGGTAACACATGAGAAAATCAGAGTAAAATATAGAGCATTGAGCATAATTATATGCCCTTTTTATGGGGCTCGTGAGTGGCTGACCACATCTTAAGAACTGGCACTCCCAGGGCCAAGACCATTACACAGACATCTACCACTATCTTTACCTCCTGGCAGTAAGTGTTAGATACCTTCTCATTTACAGAAGCAGGAAAGCATGTGAGGATTAGAGATCAATCCACATTGAGGAGAAAACCCCCCTTGCCCAAACATTAAGTGCAGAGTGTAATGAAATAAGCTCTTCTGGTGGGCCATGTATAGCTTTCCTTAGTTTTTGATCTGTTGTAACCAAGCCTTGAGATGTGCACCAGGAATCAAGAAGAGAGTCTAGCTCTCTCTACGAGGCAAGGAAACCTTGTGAATCAAAGATCTACTTCAAACTAAGGAAAACTCGCCAGAGATATTAGATGAAAAAGCAAGCTACTGCTTTGTAGACAGAAATTCAAGATGAAGTGAAAAAGGAAATTACCATTATAATGAGTGAAGAACCCTAACTTTAAATTGCCTGACCACCACTAAATGGCAGCCAAAGCCACTCTAGGCACTAGCCAGCCACCCACCCAACACCAGATGCCAGAATTAAACCCCAGACAACCCAAGGGGAAGGAGGAGTCACAGTGGGAACAGGGAAAGCTACTGAAGTCTAATAAGAAAAGGGCATTTCATTATATTCAATGCTTGACTTCTGGGAGGACCCTGTCAGTTGCTCTCATGGCTACTAATAAAGGTACAGTAGTACTCAGGGTACTAAAGTCTGGACACTCAGTGATAATAACATAGAAAAGGGTATCCTGAACTTAGCCACAGCAGATGGAATACACGAGACACTGCTTGTAACCAGCAAATATACTATGAGTAAAGTTCAAAAGAATAGCTGGTCAATTAGTTCAGAAATCTGGTTTTGACAGAAGAGGATAGTCTGTCAGCCAGGATATAATGGGGCCAAATTACCAGAGCCCTAAGGGGATCTAGCAGCCACCTGCTGTCAAGCTGGAGAGGTGATGCGATGGTTTCCAGAACTTGTTTGATAGCTAATTACTAAACAATTTAAGAGGAAGTGTTGGGGTGTTTTATGGGCCATTTTAAGAGTGGTTTACCTCAGGAGTCCAGTAATCTTTTATAAGTGTGTAGGGAAAAATTGGTGTGAAATGGCACTTGCTCCCAGTGAGCCAAGACTGTCACAGACGCCTCGTGTGTTTGTCACGGCTCTGGTGTGACAACGCCTAATGCTAGGGAGCTACTGATGGGGGCCTACTCAAAAGCTAAAAACCTGGCACATTATATTTTTTAATAAAGTTATCAGCATATTACCAATAGAGGTAGCTTCTACATATAATTTCTTTTACCATCAATTACAGCACCATTGCATAAATTAAAAGTCTTTAAACAAGTATCCCACTTTACTAAGCAAGAAATTGTATTCACAGGAACAAACTTAATCTACTTAAAAAAAAAATATACACCTGTATGAACTTTTAGTCATTACCAACAAGGTTCTTAATATAACGTTGCATTATACTATAATCCATTGAAACTGCCCTGGGGCTAGTGTGAGCATGCTGCTGGTGTTGGTGGTTGCTAGGGCTTGGAGACGGAAGGGACGAAGATATATCGTCGGTTTCTTTTGTATCGTCTTTTTCGCTGTCATCTGCTGCCTTCTGGTTTGGGAAAAAGTGTAGACATTAATGGGGAAAAGCAGCATCCCTTCTCACAACATTTTTCATGTCAGCTATAGCTTGCTTTCTGCCTGAGAGAGTTCTCTGTCTTGCTAATGGTTCACATTTGCTTACAAATAAGTGCACTTCCATTAACTGGAAGCATCAGTGTTAATGAACATCACAAAATATTCTTACATAATATATATTTACTTTTGAAGATTACTGTACACATTACTAAACACTTCTCGTCTAAGTAATTTTATACAAATGAAATGGCAAGCAAAATAGACTATATACCAGCTACTGGAAAGCATGCAAGAAGCCACTGTGACTGTGTTGTTTGTAGGAACACAGAAAGGTGGGTGAAGACATGAAAGCAATCCCAACATGGTGCAAAGAGTGTGGAGCTGTCCTATGTTATGTGAGCTGCTGTAATGAGTATCACACCCTCCACAACTTCTCAGTGTTTCATATTGAAGCATAAACATGTATATACTAGATGAGGGAGTCAATATTGTGAAAAGTGATCAATAATTTTTATGCAATTTACCGTAAAGTACAACATTTTGGTGTGCATACTATTAGCACATACATTTGCATGTACAGATGTTCTGCACAGTTACTGCAGAACATTGTTATTGCCTGCATCTACTTCCTCATCACAATCGACTTGAGAATGGTCCAGGACGGACTGAAACGTCGTCGTCCCTTCACCTTCTAGTGTGCGGTTTGGTCAACATAATTTAGCCACGTTATTGTGACTCATCGCCTGCATATGTTCTGCACATTTTATTATAATAGAACATAAAGCCACATACTATTGAACAAATTCCCATCAATTGAATGGTCTGCACAACCCCTCCGGGTCACTCACTGCAAGAATGAGCACGAATTGCTGACGTCCTGGCAAATTTTCTCCGCTCCACTACAACCTTTGTAGGTTATGCATTTTTTCCCTGTGATCAAGGAATGCATTTTAACAATATTGTACTAAACTAACAGATACAAAAATTCCCGCGCATCAGGGCATTGTCTTGTACAAACAGAGCCACAGCTCAAGGGATAATGTGATCTTTTAGTGACAGTTTATTTACAACTACTCACTAATCTCTTTGTCAGAGTTTTTTTAGCACATTTTCACAATTTTTAAGTGCATTCTTTTACCTATTCCACATTCTATTATGTTCATTATTATGACCACACCATTTTGAGTGGCATGACAATCCTCTATGTCTTATTCTTCCCTGTAAACATATTCATTCAACTCTGAATTTTATCTGGTAGTTTGTTTATAAAAACACTGAACATTACTGGCACCAGTACTAAATCTTGTGGTACTCTACTAGTGACATGTTCTCACTTTACCTGAATTTACCTGAGGGCTACTAATACTAGTTGCCTCAACGAGGACAGGAAGCTGGTGGCTTGTCAAAGGTCCCCCCATTTGCCCTGATGATCTTTTCTATCTGTATTTTAAAACCCATCAGAGTTTTGGCATTTATGGCTTCAGCGGGAAGGCTGTTCCACGGGTTTACAACCTTATGAGTGAAAAAGCATCTCCTGTTTTCTATCCTACATTGGGGTTTGTTGAACTTGAACCTGTTGATTCGTGTTCATGTTACATCTGATCTTTTGAGGAAAGTATCGGGATCTATATCGTCCAAATTGTTTAGTACAGTATTTTGAAGGTTTCTATGAGATCCACACTGTCATGCCTGGTCTGCAGTGTTGTTAGCCCTGTGGCACTCGACTATTCTTGATACGTGAGATGACTTAGCTCTGGTATGATTTTTGTTGCCCGGTGTTGCACCTTCTCCAGAGCAGCTATGTCTTTGTGAAGATGATGTCTTCATGCCGGGATGCAATAATCCAGGTGGAGCACACCAGAGATTTATACAATTGAACGACTACTTTTGTTCCTTGAAGGTAAAGGTACACATGATTAGTCCCAAGGTTTGGTTTACTATTTTTTACTGCCGCTCCCACTTGTTGTGCAACTTTTAGTGAATGATGGATTCTGATTCCAAGGTCCTTTTCTTCATCTATCTGTTGTAAGGTAGTGTTGTCAATTTGGTAGTTGTGACGTGGCTTGTTATGCCCCACATATAAGGTGTTGCATTTATCGACATTAAAAAGCATTTGCCAGTCATCTGACCATTTGTGGAGTTCATGTAGATCACTTTGTAAGGTCTCAATACCACTTTCACTTCCCACTTTTCCATAGATCTTAGTGTCATCTACAAATTTGATGATGTTATTTGTAATATTCTCATCTATGTCATTGATGTACTATATGACAATTGGGTTGGCCCCAAAATGGACCCCTGTGGCACCCCACTTAGCACATTTCCCGTCATATTCATTCCCATTTAACACGTCCCTTTGTTTTCTATGTTTTAAACATTGTTTTATCCATTCCAGTATTCTCTCATTTATTCCATGTGCCTGTAATTTCCTTGCCAGTCTCTCATGTGGTACCTCGTCAAAAGCTTTAGCAAAGGCCATGTATGCTACAGCTACCGGAAGTCCTTTGTCTGAATAGCCAGTTACGGTTTCCAGAAATGTGAGCAGGTTTCTGCTGTCATGTCAGCCATCAGGGGGCCTGACAGCTGAGTGGGCAGTGCTCGGGATTCGTAGTCTGAAGGTTCTGGGTTCGATCCCCGGTAGAGACGGAAGCAAATTGGCAGTTTATTTCACCCTGATGCCCCTGTTTGCCTAGCAGTTAATAGGTACCTGGGAGTTAGACAGCTGCTACGGGCTGCTTCCTGGGGGTGTGTAACAAAAAGGCGGCCTGGTTGAGGACTGGGCCGCGGGGACGCTAAGCCCCAAAATCAAATCATCTCAAGATAAGTTAGTGAGGCAGGATCTATTTTTAACAAACCCATGTTGCGTTGATTTTACAAGATTGTTCTCAGTGAGATGTTGTATGATTCCCTCCCTTAAGATTCCCTCCATGAGCTCCATGAGCTTGATACAGTGTCTCTAATCACTGCTCTAATTTTTCATCCATGTCAGTAGTCTGCCAGGTGAACATTTTACATGTATACAACAATAAATAACAATAAATATGTTATATGTACCAGAACATGGTAAGTTTATTGAACACCTGTTTTAAGTCTTGCCTTCTCTCTCTCTCTCTCCTAAAAAATATAGCTACTTTCTTGCACAATAACTCTTAGATATGGCAAATGAACATGTCCTTGTTTCTATTCTCTTTGGGTTGTAGGATGCCTCGCTGCCCCATGAAAGTGACAAACATGGTAGTAGTAATAATAATGATGTATATGGCTGACACTGTGCTTCAGTATGCTCGAGAGAAAAAATAATTTACTGGAGATAATACTAATTATACAGAGAAAAATCACACTACATGACATATATCGATGAGAAATTCAACTTAAGCCCCCTTAGGTGATTCAAGCCCATGACCAATGTACTACCAGCCACAACCTCTACCGCTGTACCACCCACTATAATTGATTTTCTCATTGATATATACATCACCTGTGATTTCTCTCTGTGTAATTGATGTTTTGGCATATGGTTTTGACCTACTTTACCCACACCCGGGTGCCTGGGGGTTATACTTAAATCTTGGTAGGACTTCAGAAGAGGAAGGACTTCATGCCACTTCAGCAAAGTCCCAAGTTGTATAACTTATACAACTTCGACCAGATCAGGGTGGTACAGTGGTAGAGGTTGCAGTTGGCTGAACTGTGAAGTGAAGTGAACTGAACTGAACCCGCTGTCACGGGTTCAAGTCACCTAAGAGCTCCAGCTGATTCTCTCACCGATAGTACTAATGCCGTGGTAACAAGAGACAAATTGTATTTTTGATCATATTTTGGTAATAATGATTATTAGACAGCAACAATGCTCATGTCATGTTAATTATGCCTCTGAACCCAAATTTTATCATAGATGTGATTACCAGTACATATATGCACTTGGTGAGAGTATGAGATCAAGAAGCTTCGGTCAAACACTCTTCAAACATTACCATGCTCTAACTAACTAGTTCTGACATACAATTGTCACATAATTCCCCTGCATAGCAGACGAAACTGCCCCTTCCTGCTTGCCTTAAATTATTCCACTCTCTGCATACCGTGTATTACGACCGGTAGGGAGCTCAACCCAGACATATGTCTGGAAACCACCACCAGTCACCCTCCACCCAGCCCCAGAGCACCAGGTAGGTGCAAGACCTGCTGGCGCTTGTTACCGCTAGGTAACCACCGATTATGCCGCCGGCTCATCATTCCAAGCCTCGGTGACAAAGGATGTGACATCACCATTAGGGATATAAGTACTCGTGACCTCGCTCACCACAGTGGTCTCTTCCGGTGCTCGGGGGAACATTACGGCCTCCATGCAACACTTGCCCCACCAGCTTCCTTGTGTGCAGGTTGTACAGTGGTGTTGTGTGAATATTCTTTCACTATCACCTTTATTTTTGTATTAAAGTAAGTTTATTCATGTGTGTAATTATTATTATTTCTCTTGTGTGCTAGCCAAGTGAGTTCTATCAAAGGTTTTGGGTATTTTTCATATGTTAATTGTCCATTTTTATATTAGAGTAAATTGTCTTAATTTTTCATCTGAGTATTCCCTTACTCCTGTGCAATTTTTACGCTGCAAAAACCAATGCGGCATTCGTTTTTTTTTTATGCGAAATGCGTGCCACATCACATCTGCCCAATATAGCTGTACTACTGCGTCACGTAACACAACACTTGAAATGAAATTACATGCTTAAAGATCTTACCTTACTATTAATAGGTAGAAAACGCTGCAGGTTAGGAGGGATGCCAGACAGGCTCTCCGGTGGTACTTTCTGTGCTAACAAATCGACAAGGTGTTTGAGATTACCACGTTCCAATTCCAACCATCGAACTCTTACTTCTAAATGATGCTGACTCTGCTGTAAGCTCTGCCCAAAGAAAATTATTTTGTTAAATCACAATCTGCAAATGGGAGATGGGGTGTCATATGTTTGAACACGGGCACAATTTCAGTGCTTGCCATAGAAGCTATTTTCTCTAGATATGCCACCGAGTTTAATGAGGATATGTATTTGACTATGGTGAAACCTTGACTTGGCAAGGCTTGCTTTAGTGTATCTCCAGCTCCAATACACACTTTTAAACAAAATTTGATCACCAATTTCGCTGAACAAGAGTTTGGTAAAAGTGGGTGATACACGGATTGACTTTGGGTATGGGCCACAGTTCACCACCTTAGCCATAGAAAGTTTCAAATAAAATATTTATAAAATAAGGAAATATTGCATATTATTATCCTAATAATTTGATCAAACATAATGTATGGCCAAAAATATGTAAAATGGTGTGCAAGGAAGCCTCACTTACGGATCCTGAGTCAACTGTACTCTGGAACAACATTTTCACATTTATATTTCTTTGAAATTTAGCCTTAAAAACATAAGCAACATTACTAAAAATTTAACAAATAATTAATTATAAAACATTTATTTAAATATAACAAGAACGTTAGCTTACAAATATAACAGCACTGTCATCTTTATGGCTTCATCAGAAAGACCAGAAAATGTTATATGATCTTAGTAGATGAAATCAAAATTATGTTTCAAAAAATAAAATAATTCATGAATATGGTGTAGTTTTCTAACATTGTTAAAATACATTCCCTGATCACAGGAAAAAACCAGCGTTGAATGTAATGAAATGCCATTTTCTGGGTGAGCTCTGGAGGCTCCTTGGAGCTGTCAGGCTAATATGCAATACATTAGACCAGGGGTATTAGTCAATGGAGTTCAGCCTACCGAGAACCACGAGCCAGAACCTCGCCCCCCTCAGAGAGGCACAGAGGAGCAATGGCCCCTGGAAAATTCTCCTGTGGTTGGGGGTTTTCCTTATCTCCCATCGACCAGGGTGAGACACCCAGAAAGGTAGGCATAACAGAACAAACCCCACACTAAGAAAATTGCAACCGAATATCGAAGAGAGGCAGAACTCCCTCAAATCCTAAGGAAACAAGCCAATATCATACTTCGCCACTGCACTGCTCGTCCGTGCAGCCCTCTTTTTTTTCTGGAGGGGGAGGGGGAGAGGCCTGAATCCCCCTTGCCAGTTACCCAGCAACTCTAGTTCAGAAGCTAAGCATCAAAACAATGCGAAAACCACTGATCGGAGGGAGGGAGGTATCCAGGAAGCCTCCGGGGCTCACCCAGAAAATGGCGTTTCATTATATTCAATGCTGGTTTTCTGTGGGGTGCCCCTCTGGCTCCCTGTAACTACGTAACCAAAGATAAGGAAAAGAGGGACTTATCCGGGAGGCGGCCGCTAGAAGCTCCTCAACTCGAAGGCGAGACAACTGGCTGCAACCTGCAACCCAAAGCCACACATGAACACCCAGGACCATAAATGTTGACCAAATAACGGGCGGCTAAGACCCTGTTCAACTTCCAAAATCCCCGCACCCCGAATATCAGTCCAGGATAATGTTGCTGAACACAGTAGCCAAAGCAGCAAACTTTGAAACGTCATGGGCATGGGGGATAGACCGCAGGCTGGCTAGACTTAATAACCCTGTGAACGTCTTGGGAGACTCGAGCCCTGGAATAGGGAATGAGGGAAACCAGATCAACCCAAAGCTCATCCTCTGCCACAGAAGCCGAGGCGTGCAGGTAACGGCGAAGAGCCGCAACAGGATACAACACATGATGCACCCCCCGGCCTGATCAACCAAGCATCAATGACCCCTCCGAAAAGCAGCCGTCTCGTTCTTCGCCAGAGAAGGAGAAGGCTGCAACCGAACAAACCGATTACAGGGACTGAAAGAGCAGAAACTCCTGCACCAGAGGAGAGCATAAAGCTCACCAACCTGACCCCCAGAGGCCAATGCCAACAGAAAGAAAGTCTTGGAAAAACAATCTTGAATGGAAGGTGCCACCATGAATCGAGAAGAGAGATAGGAGAGCACTGTGTCCAAGGACCAGGATGACTCAGGTGGCGCATGAGCAGGCCGAAGGTGAAATAAAGCATGAGAAAGCTTACGGAACAGGGCAGAAGTGACATCTACCCTGAACGCAAGCCGGAGCGGCTCCGCGTGGACAGCACGATACGAGATGACAGTATTCGGCATCAAATGACGGTCCTGAAAAAGCCAAGAAAGGACAAGCAAACCCAATCAGAAATAGAAGATAACCTACGAAGAGAGAGAGAAAATGACAGAAAGAATAGCAGGAAACTTCATACTGTCACAGAGACGAAGCTGTCAGGTGGGACACCATCAACAAAGCCACCTGATCATCATACAAATGGTGATAAACCAGCATTGAAAAGACCAGACGCAAAGAGCGGAGGAGAAGACCAAACCAGCCATGTACCAGACCGGTCTCATCTGCTGGAAGAAGCGGAGCCGCAGAAAATGCTCCGGTCAGTTGGTAAGAATCCAATTGAGCCAGAACCCAAAGCAATAGCTGGACATGGGAATGAGAGGTATATGTAACCATGCCTAGACCAGTCCTGCTGAAAAGCCTTCACTGCTAAGGCTCAGAATTCGGGGAAGAACGCCACATACATCAGGAGATGCCGAGACCATACCAATGCAAAGAGGTCCACCTCCGGGAGCCCGTATGTCCAGCAGAGACAACTGAAGGAGTCGGCATCGACTGTCCATTCTGTGGACAGGGGAATGAACTGAGACAGGCCGTTCACCAGGACGTTGGACACTCCCCGGATATGAACCGCGCGGAGAGCCAAACCCCGAGAAACAAGCAGACGAGTCAATTTAAGGGACCAGTTGGTCGCTAGGGAGCCGGTCGGCTGAGCGGACAGCACACTGGACTAGTGATCCTGTGGTCCTGGGCTCGATCCCGGGCGCCGGCGAGAAACAATGGGCAGAGTTTCTTTCACCCTATGCCCCTGTTACCTAGCAGTAAAATAGGTACCTGGGTGTTAGTCGGTTGTCACAGGCTGCTTCCTTGGGGTGGAGGCCTGGTTGAGGACCGGGCCGCGGGGACACTAAAGCCCCGAAATCATCTCATGATAACCTCAAGATAAGATAGCCCCAAAGAAGCAAGAACCGAAGGAAACCCGCATGGTTCAAGCACTAAACCAACGGAGAACAGTCTGAATGGAGCCGGATGGTCGAAACCCAAGAGACCCAAATCCTCTGAAGCGACAGCCAATCCGCTGTGAGCTCCCACAATGTGATGTGAGCCTGATGGAAGGATGGACCCCACTGCCCCTGACTGACCTGCTGAGGACTGGTCACAAAGCCCCAGCTGAGAGACGATGCATCCATGAACACATCGAGCGAGGGCTTGGGTAGCTGCCAAGGCACTAAACCCCTCCAAAAATCGAAGAGGAAGACAGCAACCCAGCAACTGACGCAAGGCCCCTCGGAGGCCAAACCCAGCAAATGCGAGAGGTAGACGGGCTGTCCTTGAAGGAACCAGAACAGATGCCGAAGCCAAAACCGACCCAGTGGGTAGACCAGCACAACGAAGTTCAAACTCTCGCACAACTGCTCGAGCAACTGTCTCGAGCAACTCGAGTGACCCAAGACCGCAGCTGCAGCAATGCCTCTGGAGAAAGAGACATGGAAGTGGTCCGTGAGTCGCAAACAAGACCCAGCCAGGTCTAAATCTGGGACATAACCAGATCACCAGGAACCTGAAGAGCTGGAAAAGAACCACACCCCTGGCGAGCAGCCAAGCAGACCGGCTGGGAGCCCACACCAGCCAGTTGTCGAGGTAGGCCAGAACCCGAACCCCTAGCAGACGCAGACAGGTAACCATAACCCGGGTATGACTCATGAATACACGAGTTGCCAGATTCAAGCCAAAAGGAAGGCAATGAAAGTGGCAAGCCTGACACCCCATTACGAAACCTAACCAGTCCCTGAACCCCAGATGAATGGGAATGTGCCAACATGCATCCCTGAGGTCCATGAACACCATCCAAGCTCCCAGCTTCAATAGAAGCCGGACCTGGGACAGAGTGGTCATCCAAAAGGAGGGGCAAAGAATCCAGGGGTTCAGACGGGACAGGTCCAGAATGAACCACAGATCTGCACAGTCCTGTTTCGACACTGGAAACAGGCAGGAAACCCACCTGAGGGACGGGTTCGTTTCAATCACACCCAAGCGCACTCACTCTGCGATGACCCAACGGAATGCTGGGGAAGAAGCCTGCCTGCCAGCCCCGAACCCCCCAAAGGAGGAGGAGCCGCACAATGCCACCATAGGCCGGAGAATATGACCCAAAATGACCACGAATCGTGGGACCAGGCGTGAGCAAACAGTGCGAGCCTTCCCCTCATCAACGGCACGTTGGTTTATTGCTTGCAGGTCATCAATGGGACGACCTGCGATAGGGCCGATGAGCAGAGTGATCATCACGCCAACCAGTCAACGCTGGCTCAGAAGCTAGCACCAATGGCCCACCCCGACTTATGGAACCCTGAGCCCGGGCACAACCCTTCTGCGAAGCCCAAGAAATGCCACCCCGGGAGAACCATTGAGTTTGACATAGGACGACAACTAGACGAAGCTGCCTGCAAAAATGGCGTGACAGCAGTCTTTGCAAATAGCAACGGACAATACGGTGATGAAAACCTAAGAGCCAGGGCCCATGCGGATTCCAAAGAGAGAGCGAGCACAGCCTGCTGGCACGCGAGGCGAAAAGTAAAGAACAGAGACACCGCCTGCTTGAGAATCAACGCAAACAGCTTCAACAGTGCGGTCGACATCCTAGCCAATGAATCCAGTACCCCAGACAAAGGCCCAACACTCAATGCCCCCACATCCTCCTCAAGCCAGTCCGAGTACAGCTCGAGAAGAGAAAAGAAGCGAAAGACCGAAGCAAAATGCCTCAAAATGCAAGTCCTCAGCAACCAAAGACGCTGAAAGGGAGGCAACCTGCACAAGACAACATCTCAAGGAAGTACAGGGGCGAACAAGCACGCATTAAGGCACTCAAATTTGCCCCCCCCCTCCAGGTAAACTTGTAGAATGGTAGAAGTTTCTCACCATTCAAGCATGCAGGTCCGACAGAACCTATGCCATGCTCCCAATCAAAAGAATGGGCAGTCTGCCAGTCAGGAAGACTCCGGAACATCAAAATGCACCCAATACAGCGAAGAAGAACCGAACTCAAAGGAGGACAAATTCATAATAGAGGCAGAATCCAGGTCTTGCAGAAGGTATGCAGCAAGCGTAACCCAAACCTTCTTAGGCGAGATACGAGAGGCAGAAAACCTCTAGAAGGAAGGAGCTGAGGAACCCAAGGGAACCCAGAACTGAACCCTAAACCTAAAAATCATACTAATACTGGGTTGGGGGTAAGAAAACCCCTGCTCCCTGCAACAACAAACCCCGTGAAGAGGGCACCAACACCCAAGCGGGGTCAAAGGGGGGTCTAAGCCCCCCAGATTAACTCTTCCCCAGCTCCAGGATCTCACAAATCGGGACACAGGGCAGAGCAGTCCTCCATACCCTCTACCCCTGAAGAAAAGGCAGAGAGCCAGGGAAAAGGCTGAAAAGAATACTGAATGCTGGTGGGACCCAGAAGCCTTGGCAGAAGAAACCAGCTCGATTGCCCCCGTCCCCAACCTGAATGGGGCAGCCCCCGAAGCTGCCCCGAGTCTCATTACCAATTAAACCAGCTCTGGCTATGAAACCCTCAGACATTTGGAAGTTGGAAGCAGGGGGTGGGTGGGTAAGACGAACAACAGGGGAAGGACCAGGGAGTGCGGATGGAACCAAAGTCAAAGCAACTAATGCCCCCAAGTCTGGGTCCGTATAATTAAAACAGGGCAGCCTCAAGACATCTGGGCAGGTAACCAACCTAGCATGTTGCAGCAACCTAAACTTAGCATGCAACTCAGATGAAGCCTGTACCCAAATAACAATGTCATCAGAATAGGTAAATAGGTGAATAAGCTCAGAGCACGTCTCACTAGACTCCGGGACAAAGGTGTCGGTGACCCAACAGGCAGCATAACGGAGGCAAAAGAGGTGACTGTCACCCTGAGACAAGGGCACACAGCTACCTTCAAACTCGCACGAGGCGAGCTGGAACTTGGAAGACCCATCCACAGGTCCACCGAACCCCGACAGGGTTTTCCAGGCCCCGTAGGCTGACTGCTATGAGAAGCCCGGGCAAGGTGTTGCTAACCGGTTAGACCCAAAGCTAACAAGAGGGAGATCAAAACACTGAAACCCCTGTGACATGTACAATCACAAGGGCTTAGAGGAGGGCCACCAAAATATTATTAGAGGACCCATAGCCACACCAGGCAAACAAAACAAAAAGTAAAAGAAAAAACCCGCAAAAGTACAACGTCCCCAGAGGAAACAGGAACCAGCCGCTGCATAGGTAAGCTGGCTGCGCAACACCTTGATGCCTCAACCAATAATCGAGAAAACAAGGACCACGAAACCCCAGCTGGCCCCAAGGGCGGGGTAAATGCCAAGCAGCAAAAACTCTCTACGGAAATGGTGCCCTGAAAGCACCAGGGAAGAGAACCCTGACACCCAAGGGTAGTACTCATAGGGCACTTTGGGAATGCTGCCCTAATCGCATGCAGCCCGATACACTTCAGGTATACCTGGCCACCACACCACGAACAACAGAGGACACCACTAAGGCAAAACACTGCCAGGAAACTAAGGCCAGAGTTGACGATCGCCCCAGATAGCAATAGCCAACGAACTGGAGTTGCTGGGTAGCCGGCAAAGGGAAGGGCTCCGCGAACAAGTGGTGCGGCGGCGAGGTGTGATGTTTGCATGTTTACTTGTTTCCATGGGATTTGAGGGAGTTCTGCCTCTCTGTTCTGTTTTCGGTTGAAATTTTCTTACCATGTGGGGTCTGTTTTGTTATGCCTACCTTTCTGGGTGCCTAACCCTGGTCAATGGTAGACAAGGAAAACCCCCAACCATGGGGGTTTTCTAGGGGCCATTACTTCCTGTGCCTCTCTGAGGGGGCCAGGTTCTGGCTCGTGGTCCCCGGTAGGCCTGAAGTTCATTGACAAATGCCCTGGTCTGATGTATTGCATATTAGCCTGATAGCTCCAGAGAGCTGGAAGGGCTCCCCACAGAAACAACAACAATCATTAAATAATCAGTTACTTATTTATTTCATCATTATTAAGTGATACTGTGGGTATGATGCATGGCAGTGGTGTGAGCTGTTGCTGCATGTGGCACTCATGGCTGCACTCTCAGCAGTGAGGCCCTCGCACCCAGGAGATCTGCCCACAATTTTTTTCCAACATAGTACAGTATTTGTTTATTGGAGGCCTGATGAAGATGTGAGCTCTGTGTACCTGCGGGAGTTTTAATTCTCACATGGTACTTGAAAACTTCCCCAACTGTGTCATGCAGTTTATAGACAATTAGTGAAATCAATCCTAGACACGTCATGCAGCATAAGGGTTAAAGAATACCCCGAGCCATCTACAAGATAAAGTGTAAGCTGCCAATGACAATTATGTGTACAATTCAGTGCACCCTTGGTACATGCACTAGGTGTGACAGCCTCTCAAGTACAAATGAGCAGCAGGAACCTCTCATCAAGAAGCTATGCAGTGGGAAGCAAACCCGTACATACCAGGAATCAAGACAGTTTGGAAAGAGATGACACAATGAGGAGGAAGCCCGAGCCTCACAGTGAAGAGAACTATGGTTAGGCAGGAGAGCTGAAGGCTGACTCACAGCCAGAGGTTACTTGTGCTAACTACAATCACTTGACCTGCCAGAGATGACTTGAAAGGATTCAGCCTATAGAGTAGGAAACCCAACTTCACAGGAAAGAGAACTCTGGCAGGGTAAGGGAAACATAAGCTGGCCACCAGGGAAGGCAACCCTGGCAGGGTAAGGGAAACATAAGCTGGCCACTAGGGAAGGCAACCCTGTCTTCATACCAAACAATGGCCCCCACACACAACATTTATTTCAGCAACAGTCAACATCACTAAACCTAAAGTGGAAAGGAGACAGGGGCTCTGCAAAGCTGCCTGCCCCAGATCATCACCAGGCATGTGAATGAAGCTGCTAGCTGGCTAGATCCCAGGTCATTTGGACAGCCATCTGCTGGTGGGCAGACACATTACAGCAAACATTTACCAGTGGTAACAACTGTTTGTACTCTTTTCATCAGGGTTGCAAATATTTCCAAGCAGTTACTTATTTTAGAGTACTCTGGCTTTCTGATGGTTACTTGGTTCTGTGGTGATCTCTGAGCCTCTGGCTCTCTTTTTGCCTCTTTGAGGTGGCCAGGTTTTGATCCTGCATCCTAGTTAGTTGCTGTGGGTCTTCAAAGGCCTGGTGTGGTCCCCATGGCTGTGGGTCTTCAAAGGCCTGGTGTGGTCCCCATGGCTATGGGTCTTCAAAGGCCTGGTGTGGTCCCCATGGCTGTGGGTCTTCAAAGGCCTGGTGTGATCCCCATGGCTATGGGTCTTCAAAGGCCTGGTGTGGTCCCCATGGCTGTGGGTCTTCAAAGGCCTGGTGTGGTCCCCATGGCTGTGGGTCTTCAAAGGCCTGGTGTGGTCCCCATGGCTGTGGGTCTTCAAAGGACTGGTGTGGTCCCCATGGCTGTGGGTCTTCAAAGGCCTGGTGTGGTCCCCATGGCTGTGAGTCTTCAAAGGCCTGGTGTGGTCCCCATGGCTGTGGGTCTTCAAAGGCCTGGTGTGGCCCCCATGGCTGTGGGTCTTCAAAGGCCTGGTGTGGTCCCCATGGCTGTGGGTCTTCAAAGGCCTGGTGTGGTCCCCATGGCTGTGGGTCTTCAAAGGCCTGGTGTGGTCCCCATGGCTGTGGGTCTTCAAAGGACTGGTGTGGTCCCCATGGCTGTGGGTCTTCAAAGGCCTGGTGTGGTCCCCATGGCTGTGGGTCTTCAAAGGCCTGGTGTGGTCCCCATGGCTGTGGGTCTTCAAAGGCCTGGTGTGGTCCCCATAGCTGTGGGTCTTCAAAGGCCTGGTGTGGTCCCCATGGCTGTGGGTCTTCAAAGGCCTGGTGTGATCCCCATGGCTGTGGGTCTTCAAAGGCCTGGTGTGGTCCCCATGGCTTTTAGTATCTGGGAACTACTGAGAGGGGTTCTCCAAGAAAAGGATTGAATTCTGCACATAACAAATACCTGATTGGAAGTTTCAAGGGCATGTTGATGTGAATTTGAATGATGAAGCTGCTCCAATAGATCTAAATTTTGTCGCTTGAGATTCTTGTTTGCTTCTTTCATTTTCTGGAAGTCTGTATGATTTTGAGGTGAAAGAGCAAGTTCCTCTTGCAGTACATGATATTCTACTTCATAGGCTTGCAGCTCCTGCTTCAGTGTACACTCACATGCCTGCAAGCAAAGACAATTGATAATTCTGTTGTCATGTTTATTTATCATATTTATTCCTGAGAATGGCTTATACTAATAACATTTAATGCAAAATAATCATTCTAATGTTAATACTAAATATATATATAAAATACAACACATTCAAAGTCCTAAACAACACTGTTACACCCTTCTAAAATTGTAACCCTTGCACTGCACATCACATTGCCTTATGTTTGACCCTATGGTGCACGTCACACCCCGAGATGTTTATTGGTACTTTGCAACATTTGAAATTCCCGCAGGTACAGGACTCGCATCCACTTCCTTGGGTCTCCAGTCAAGAGATGCCATTTTGGAAAAATCTTAGCATTGTATGGAATAAAATTCCTCTTTCTAGTTGGGCCTCAGTGGCTTTGTGAAGCTAGCTTGCTGTGATAGATCCACACATGAGACACATCAGCCTCAGGAGTTCTTAATAGCCTACCAAAGACCAGAGCCAGACCCTTGTATCACTCAAAGAGACGCAGGGACGGGAGGGGACGAGGGGGGATAGTTATTATCACCCTCACCAAGAAAACATCAATACAAATGCAAAGCCAAACAGACAACTGCATGATTTATAAAGAAATAAGAAGTGAGTCAGCAAATGACCCCACAAATGATACACAAAGTGGTTAGTTTGAACCCCTTTAGTTACAGCTGACCACCTATAGGTGGCAGCACCCCAGGAGCTCCTGACTCCCATGTCAACAAATCCACAGGTCAGAGCTGAAGACCACAAAACAATGCATCTGGAAGTGAGGTGAAGACAAGGGAAGCACAGAGGCCCAACCAGAAAAAACCAGCATTGAATGTAATGAAACACCATTTTCTGGGTGAGCCCCGGAGGCTCCCTGGAGCTTATCGGGCTAATGTATTTTATATTAGACCGGGACATTAGCTAAGGAGTTCAGACCTACCAGGGACCAGCACCAGAACCTGGCCCCTTCAGAGAGGTTTCTGGGAGCAATGGCCCTGGAAAACCCCCTTGTGGTTGGGGTTTTCCTTATCTGCCATTGACCGGGGTTAGGCACCCAGAAAGGTAGGCATAACAAAACAAACCCCAAACCCCACTCCCTGGAGCTTCACACCCAAAGAGAAGGAAACGAAAGGGCTGACCCGGGAGGTGGCCGCCACAAACTCCGCAACGCGAAGCCGTAGACAACAGGCTGCAACCTGCGACCCAAGACAACAAGAACGCACAGGAGCAGACGCGCATAAAGAATGGGCGGCCAAGAACCTGTGCGACCCTCAAATCCCTGCGCCCGAAATGAGCACTAGACGTCACCAACACAGCAGCAAGGACCAGGACAGCTCAGGCGACCCGCATATCATGATCAGTAGCTTGGGTGAACTGGAGTACATACAAACAACAAATATCGCATGACTCCGGGTCGAAAAAAACACTGACCCCACAGACAGCATGATGGAGGCACAACCGGTGATTGTCACACTGAGACGAGTGCACACAGCAACTGTCAACCTCGCATGAAGCGAGAGGAGACTCAGGGGTCGAATCCATTGTGTAACGGCTGATTCTCTCCTTCCCTCCCCCTCTCCCCCCCTTTTGCCCATTTGTCAAGGGCCAAGAGGTTGACCTGAGGATGGTCTTGCTACCTTGGTCCTCTTGGTGCCTATGCTCCCCCACTCAATTCTCCCCACTCAGCTTCCCTCTCCATCCACCTCTCATTCCTTCTCTCCCCCTCTCACCGGTTCCTCTCCCATACCAGGCGAGTCAAATGTCCCTACCTTTTATCTTAGAGGAGACAGGTTCGAACATAATTTATCAGTTTTTGTAAACATTGCTCTGATGTGTCCCAGTCTCAGGTGGTCCACTACAGAGGCACCTTGTCCCCTTCGAATAGCTGGGGAGAGCTGACTCAATCTTCGAGAATTTCATGTATCCTTCCACCGCAGATCATGGAAGGTGATTGGCGGTAGATAAGTGCCAAGTCCTTATTGGCCCTAGAGAGCCAGACCTCAGGCCTAGCTTTAAATGGTTGGCCATAGCCAAAAATAATGAGTGGAGCCCTGGGGCTGTATTAGATTGTGGGAGGAACAATCCTTTCCACCAGTAAGCTGGTGAAACAAAATTTCAGGAGGGTGTTCAGGGAGTGCTGTGGGGGTAGGAACTCGGTCCCACATCAAAGGGGCTGAAGACAGCCATCAACATCTGGCCAGGTTGCGGTTTTAAGGTATTGTGCACCTGAGTATTCATGTCCTCGGTAGATATCCATTGGCCTCTTAGGGATAATAGAGTAGGGTATATGTTCATTTGATTTCAATATGTGGGTTAAAAAAAACTTTTAAATGGTTTTTGCTGTTTAGTTATCTCTGTCCCTTTTGTTATTAATGTGGAGCAGTTTCTATATTCAGTATATATATATGTGTGGTATTTGGAAATCCTCCTGTTCTCCTCCATTTAATGGATATTAAAGTTGCCCTTGGACCTAAATAAGCAATGTAAATTAAACAAACTAATTCCCAAGATTTATTACTGAAGTTCCTAGTACCTGGTTGATACCTGGTTGATGGGGTTCTGGGAGCTCTTCTACTCCCCAAAGAGTACCAGGCGAGTCAAATGTCCCTACCTTTTATCTTAGAGGAGACAGGTTCGAACATAATTTATCAGTTTTTGTAAACATCGCTGACGTGTCCCAGGCTCGGGTGGTCCACTATAAAGGCGCCTTGTCCCCTTCGAATAGCTGGGGAGAGCTAACTCAATCTTCGAGAATTTCATGTATCCTTCCACTGCAGATCATGGAAGGTGATTGGTGGTAGATAAGTGCCAAGTCCTTATTGGCCCTAGAGAGCCAGACCTCAGGCCTAGCTTTAAATGGTTGGCCGTAGCCAAAAATAATGGGTGGAGCCCTGGGGCTGTATTAGATTGTGGGAGGAACAATCCTTTCCACCGGTAAGCTGGTGAAACAAAATTTCCGGAGGGTGTTCAGGGAGTGCTGTGGGGGTAGGAACTCGGTTCTACCCCCTTGGTCCTACCTATTGCCTGGGAGTTTCATGATTACTGATTCCTTGCCTTCCTGGGGGATTGGTGATAGATACATTCAGGTATGTTAGATCGGGAAGGTGGTGGCAGTGTCTAATGAGTTGTTAATTATTTGGATTTTTAAATTAATGACCCCTATTCGTGTTGTTTCCTCCTCATTTAATATTTCAGCTTGTACCTGCGGTAGCTCAGTGAGGGGTCCTACTGAGCTGTAGCAGTGTTGAGCTGGGGTATTGAAGGGAAGAGTAGAGAGAGTGAGACAAGTTTAGGTTCATTACAATTGGACCAAGGAGCCCTCGCTGGGTTTCCCAGGGACCCTTAACCTTGGTAACATGCTAAGGGAAGCCCAGGCGTGGTACAGCTAACCGGCACCCCAAAACTACCAAGCAAAAAGCAAACTGCTAAAAGCTGCACCCCCGGGATGCGGGGGTGTCACTTGCGGGGGCCTAGAGGAGGACTACCAATAACAATAGAGTCTGACCAACCAAGAGACAGACCCTCCACCAGGCAGAGAAAACAAAAAGGAGTATCCGAGTTTGTACTCGGGTCGAATAGGGTCTTGGCCGGCAGCCAAGACCCTGTTGGCCGCCGACTGGACCCAGATGCATGAAGTTCCCCAACCCAACTCCCAGAGGCCAAAGCCAACTTGATTGCTGATCTGCCAGCATAATTCTAATTTACAATAAGCTTTCTAATTAATTGTTCTCTTCAAGTCTTTACCCAGGTACAATTATTCATGAGTAATAATAGTAAAATAGGACAAAATATCTCTGGCTGCAGAGTACACATGTACTTATATAGTATTTATCACAGAGGAACAGTAAAAGTGATGACATTAAATTTATATTACCTGAGCAATTATGTTTCCTGTCTGTTGGACATTAAGATTGGACATGGATGTTTTCATGAAGTCCATGAGTTGTTCAAATGACTCACAAGCCAGTAGGGCTTCTTCATGTACCCTGAGGAGCACAAGAGCTACACGAAACACTGCCTCCATACCTTCCATCAACAGCATATCTGCAATGTACAGTGACTCAAAGTCAAATAACATACTCGCAACATTACCAATACAACAAATATGCTGCAGTAAAAATTCTACACATAAAATATATAAATTGTGTCACTGAAATCATTAAATAATAACTTATAGCACCTAAGACATTTGAGAAATTGGATACAAAACAAAATCTATACCCCCATGTGGACTAGACCAAATGAATGCATTATCTGGCGCAAAAACATTGTCTTTCCCTCCCCCAAATGGTTTCCTTTGGCTGGGGGGAAAGGATGCCTCTTAGGCTTATTGAGGGGTCCATAGGAGAGCTACTGAAGATCTTTCACAGGATACAACCCACAACAGTTGCAAAACTTCCAGGTATTTATTTACTACTAGATGATCAGAGGTAGCACATGGAGGAAGCCATGCCACCCCACCAACAATATATGTCCTGTCACAGGAATCAAACCTGGGATCTTTCAGTTGTGAACAGACTAAGCTGACTATTGCCCTACACTTCAGTTCTGCTTAATGCTTTTGTTTTTATTTGCTCATATTAATAAACTTTTCTAGGGGGGAACCCTTTGGTGGTTCCTTGTAGCTATCTCGCTGAGATTACTCTATACGTCACATCAGTCGCAGGAGTTCTGATTGGCCTACCGGAGCCTAGAGGCAGAACCTGGGCCCCCTCACAGATGTCCAGGGAGCAAATTACATTCTGCCATTTCACCACAAAAGCATCCAGAAAGTCAGCGAAGCTTTACAGACAACTGCTGAGTTCACAAGGCTCGAAGACTCGAAACTGCCAAACAACTCCCCAAACAATTCAAATGAAATAAACTAATCCACTTGAAATTAGCTAAAATCTTTTAATACCAATCGGTGTCACCAGGTGGCCCAGAACTCAACCTTCCACCAGCTCACCAATCAGTTCTGTTGCTGATGTGTTGCCTAATGCTTCACATCAGTACTCCATGGTCACTATCCGTTGCAATGGGTCCCAGTGCTTGTAAGCTAAGTAACGGACATCCTAGGACTTGTTCTGTGTAGGCTATTTGCTTGTGTATTGTTCCAATAGTATATTAGTTTCATAAGTGTGTTTTCTATCTGGTGTTGTGTGGACTTGGTTTTTTGCACTCTGAACTGCATGCATTTAGTGGTTACTTCCTTGGGTGTTTGTTTAGCATTGCCCTTACACTGACAGTAACTTCTCTGATGTGTTCAGGAGTTTGCCCTTTTGAGGCCCAGCCACCGAGCCCACTATCACCAATAGTGAGTTTTAAGGGTGTTCATTGCCTTTTGCCATATGCGATGATCATTCTTTCTGCCTCCACCATGTTACCAGTTGGGTCGGCAATACGTACGGCCCTGAATTCTGTGGGGTTTGTTCCCCACTGGTTCTGACCCCATCTAATCCTGCTACTGAGGTGGAGGCATTCAGGCACTTGTTGCTTTATGGGCTTGGTTCAGTTCAGTGTTTGTGGCTTTGTCCTCAGATGGATGCCCTGGAATTGCCCTGTACAGTGTTTAGGGACCGAGAATTAGAGGTAATGGTGAGCTCCATCTTGGCTCCAACTGGACCTTCTCTACCATCCCCAGCAGGTGTGGAATGCCCTGCTTCTCTTCCTTGCCCCATGCTTCCAGGTCTGAAGCCTCTGAGGTTTTTGGAGTCAGGGTAGGGTTTCAAGGGATGTCCCTTCCTTCTTTAGTGCATAAGCAGCTGAGCTTTCTAATCCCATCAAGGTTGCAAAGTTTTCTTCTTCACAACTGCATGCTTCCTCCATGCCTTCTCCTTGGAAGGATGCCTTTCTTTCACAGGGGCTCCAGAGCCTTCTTGGCAGGCTTCCAGGGCTGGGGAGGAGCCTGAGTTGGGGCCTTGGATGCCCTCTGATTTCACTTGGTATTTTATTCCTTCTGAGAGGGGTTGAATGGTAATGAGAGGTGTTTTCTTATTCTCTCGATAGGTATGAATTTGATATTTCTGCAATCCCTATCTCAGGGTTCATTTCCATTTGCTGTTAGACTCTGCGCATACTTCTTTCTGGACGTTTCCCTCTTCTGGCATTTTCTCTCTTGTTGCTCATAAGGACCTATAGTTATAGGTCCTTATGTTGTAGGTCCTACCCGAGGAGGTAGGAGGAATTCGGGCCACACTATCGTGATGGACTCTTCCTTCGTTGAGTTTGGGTCCGTACTGCCGTTTAGACTATGTTATGAAGTTCCAGACTCATCCAGGCTGTCTGACAACCCATCGTCAGCCAGCCAGGTTGACAAGGGTGCTTCTGGGGAAGCACTCTTGTGGCTCTGTGAAGCCAAGATGGCTCCCAGCTAATACATCACTACTACTAATGTATTTGAGCTAGTTTTGAGTGGATTATTTTGTTTTGTTTGAGTTCTTTGGGGGAGTTGAATGCCATTTCAAGACTTCAAGATCTTGTAAACCCAACAATTATCTGCAAAGATTCACTGACTTTCTGGATTCTTTTCCGGAGGGGTAGTGAATTGTTAGTTGCTCCCTGAGCCTGAGTGTGGGAGACCAGGTTCTGGCTCTGGTCCTCAGTAGTCTAAACAAAACTTCTGACTGATGTGATGCCAACTGGTAGGGTGGGGGGGGTGGGGGGGAGCATACCAGAAAACATCAACTGAGGATTTTAAGGGATTTTTACTTGTGATACCCACTAATATTACTAGAGATACCTAATATTCTTACTGGTGTTACTTAACACACTTACCATTGATAAATAATATTCTTACTAGTGATACCTAATATTCTTACTAATTATACTTAATATTCTTACTAGTGATACCTAATATTCTTACTAGTGATACCTAATATTCTTACTAGTGATACCTAATATTCTTACTAGTGATACCTAATATTCTTACTAGTGATACCTAATATTCTTACTTGTGATACCTAATATTCTTACTTGTGATACCTAATACTTACTTGTGATACCTAATATTCTTACTTGTTCTAATACTTAGTGATACCTAATATTCTTACTTGTGATACCTAATATTCTTAGTGATACCTAATATTCTTACTTGTGATACCTAATATTCTTACTTGTGATACCTAATTCTTACTTGTGATACCTTACTAGTGATACCTAATATTCTTACTTGTGATACCTAATATTCTTACTTGTGATACCTAATATTCTTACTTGTGATACCTAATATTCTTACTAGTGATACCTAATATTCTTACTTGTGATACCTAATATTCTTACTTGTGATACCTAATATTCTTACTTGTGATACCTAATATTCTTACTTGTGATACCTAATATTCTTACTAGTGATACCTAATATTCTTACTTGTGATACCTAATATTCTTACTTGTGATACCTAATATTCTTACTAGTGATACCTAATATTCTTACTAGTGATACCTAATATTCTTACTTGTGATACCTAATACTAGTGATCTAATATTCTTACTGTGATACCTAATATTCTTACTTGTGATACCTAATATTCTTACTAGTGATACCTAATATTCTTACTAGTGATACCTAATATTCTTACTAGTGATACCTAATATTCTTACTAGTGATACCTAATATTCTTACTAGTGATACCTAATATTCTTACTAGTGATACCTAATATTCTTACTAGTGATACCTAATATTCTTACTAGTGATACCTAATATTCTTACTAGTGATACCTAATATTCTTACTAGTGATACCTAATATTCTTACTAGTGATACCTAATATTCTTACTAGTGATACCTAATATTCTTACTAGTGATACCTAATATTCTTACTAGTGATACCTAATATTCTTACTAGTGATACCTAATATTCTTACTAGTGATACCTAATATTCTTACTAGTGATACCTAATATTCTTACTAGTGATACCTAATATTCTTACTAGTGATACCTAATATTCTTACTAGTGATACCTAATATTCTTACTAGTGATACCTAATATTCTTACTAGTGATACCTAATATTCTTACTAGTGATACCTAATATTCTTACTAGTGATACCTAATATTCTTACTAGTGATACCTAATATTCTTACTAGTGATACCTAATATTCTTACTAGTGATACCTAATATTCTTACTAGTGATACCTAATATTCTTACTTGTGATACCTAATATTCTTACTAGTGATACCTAATATTCTTACTTGTGATACCTAATATTCTTACTTGTGATACCTAATATTCTTACTTGTGATACCTAATATTCTTACTTGTGATACCTAATATTCTTACTAGTGATACCTAATATTCTTACTTGTGATACCTAATATTCTTACTTGTGATACCTAATATTCTTACTTGTGATACCTAATATTCTTACTTGTGATACCTAATATTCTTACTTGTGATACCTAATATTCTTACTTGTGATACCTAATATTCTTACTTGTGATACCTAATATTCTTACTTGTGATACCTAATATTCTTACTAGTGATACCTAATATTCTTACTTGTGATACCTAATATTCTTACTTGTGATACCTAATATTCTTACTTGTGATACCTAATATTCTTACTTGTGATACCTAATATTCTTACTAGTGATACCTAATATTCTTACTTGTGATACCTAATATTCTTACTTGTGATACCTAATATTCTTACTTGTGATACCTAATATTCTTACTAGTGATACCTAATATTCTTACTTGTGATACCTAATATTCTTACTTGTGATACCTAATATTCTTACTTGTGATACCTAATATTCTTACTAGTGATACCTAATATTCTTACTTGTGATACCTAATATTCTTACTTGTGATACCTAATATTCTTACTTGTGATACCTAATATTCTTACTTGTGATACCTAATATTCTTACTTGTGATACCTAATATTCTTACTAGTGATACCTAATATTCTTACTTGTGATACCTAATATTCTTACTTGTGATACCTAATATTCTTACTTGTGATACCTAGTGATACCTAATATTCTTACTTGTGATACCTAATATTCTTACTTGTGATACCTAATATTCTTACTAGTGATACCTAATATTCTTACT